CCCAGCTCTGGGGCTGAGCTAAAGCCCCTAAGAGCCACATACGCAATCGTTCCGTTATGTTTCTTAGGGACTGATGACAGGAACGCCTGTACATGGTCAGTGCCAGGGCAATTTTCTTCTTCCAATTGTTTTAGAAAACATTTTGAACCTCCCATCCAGAAGCTGTGGCTACCAAGTGTCAAATGTTACCCAGAGACCGAGCACTGCGCCACGGATCGGCCCATTCTCCTGTGGATGGATACTGCACTGTCTCCAGACCAGCTAAACTAGGGGTTTCTCTGCTCCAGACAGTCTTGTGCAGGTCTTCAGGCCGACCCAGACAGTCCACAGGGGTGGAGAATCTAGACACAGCACAGGGGCGTGGTGAGCACAAAGGGATGCTGAGAGTTTTCTGGAGTGGTTGCACCACCATCAGCTGTGCACAAGAATGTTAGTTGCCCGGTTAGTTGCCCGGTCCCTGCCAGCGCTCAGTATTTCTCCTACTGAATCCCTGCTGTAATGAACCAGACCAACACAGTGAGCCTGCACCTCACTGTTGACCCACATCCGGTCTGATCTCTTCTAGCTCCCTGAGCCACTGAGTCACCATGACTGTCTGGAAAGCTGTTCAGGTTGCATAGCTGGTCTCTCATCCCAAACCTCCCCTCCACGTCTTCTTTTTTTTTTTTTTTTTTTTTTTTTTTGGTTTTTCGAGACAGGGTTTCTCTGTGGCTTTGGAGCCTATCCTGGCACTAGCTCTGTAGACCAGGCTGGTCCCTCCACGTCTTCTAATCCCGAAAGTCTGTGGCCTTGGAGAGACCCAACTTCCTTTTCATTCCCCTGAAGAAAATAGCTTCGCATGCCTCTCAAGACAAAACTTCGAACTCACGACCAAGGTACTTGTCATATCCCTTGCTCACCTCCCGCCCTTCTAGGCTTGTCACCTCCTTCACGCACACACAAACTCTATCTGCCCAAGAAGTCCCTAACCCTCATTCTTCTCCAGACACCAGGATCCGCCGGGCGGTGGTGGCGCACGCCTTTAATCCCAGCACTCGGGAGGCAGAGGCAGGCGGATCNGGAGGTCGGACGAAGCTACAAACATCCTGTCTCAAAAACAAAACCACCCCACAATCACCACCACAACAAAACAAGGCAAAACCAGAAACAAAAAAAAAAAAAAAAAAAAAAAAAAAAAAAAAAAAAAAGACACCAGGATCCCATTAATTTCTCCTAACTCTCTTTACTAGACAGCACGGAGCCTAATTAACGTACTGGTATGATTAACAATAGTAATATATAGTGATTGCTGGTGACAGTCTCTCTTCTATCCTCCAACACTCTCTCACCTCTTGATTGAGAACATTGGAGTCAGGAGCCGGATTCTACCTACTTAGCCTCTAGGATTGCGCTTGCGCGTAGTGCGCGCCCAGGAACGTGTCTAATTAGCTACTAAGTGAGCACGTTAACTCATCTAAACTTTAACAAGCCCGGGGCAAGCCATTTCATCATCCAGAAGGAACCACCCAGAATAGCCTGGGTCTGCGCCCAAGGTTTAAAGGGCCAGATCTGAGCCGCGAGAAGTTTTCCCGGAGTGCACAGACCACAAGGTACAAGAGCTTAGCGGGAATCAGCGCAACTAAGCAACGCTGGCCCGCCCCGCTCGTAAAGAGTAAGGATCACAATCTGCTGCATATGCATGAGGAGGACCATAGGCCAGAGGTTTGGGGCTATCCAAATTGCGCCTGACTAAAAATTCTTCGGGTTTGAAGACTTCAGCGCCCCATAATTTTATTCACGTGCATGTAAAGTCTATAAAAGATCTTTTGTGGCGGATACTGAGGGAAGAGTGTCCGAGGGTAGCACCACTTTGGGCCTGTAGATCAGGCGTCTGCGACGGACAGCCTGATTCTGGACGGGGTCCTTGGGCCGCCCGACTTGAAGACGAAGGGGGCGTCTCCCCAGCTTCTGCGGCGTCGGTGGCGAGCTAAGGAGGAGGCAGGCTGCGGCAGCGACGGCGACAGTGGCGGCAGTGCCATGGCGGGGCTCGCAGGTATCGTGGCGTCGCCCGCCTGGGCGGGGTGAGAGGTCCTCGGCGCGGCCGCGGCGCCATGTTGGCCGTCCGGGGTCACCTTAGGCGCCGCTTGGCCTCTCGCCGGGGCTTTCCTTCCGCGCGCCCGGGGGCGGGCGCACTCTTGTCTGACGTCGGCCGAACCGCCCCGCTTCTCCCCAACCTGGGCCTTGGGGGAGGGGTCCCCTTCCCGTCCCGAGGCTGGGTTCCGGGATTCCTGGCTGTCACTCTGGCCTCCAAGGTCAGCGAGCTCCCGGGGTGGGACTTGGAGCACGGGACGCGACCACCACCTCCTCTGCTTGGGCCTTTGGCCAGGGGCTCAGCTTTTGAGAGGCCGGCCATTCTTTCCTCGCCACTTCAGTATCTGTCTGTCTCTCTGTCTCTCTCTTTTTGTTCCGTCCGAAGAAGTGTGGGGAGAAGGGAAACCAGGCCCCGAACCCTCTCTTTGGTGACTGTCTGTTCGGGTCCCGGGTACTCTCCCACCAACTTTTCATCGATTCTGGACACCGGTTCCCTTTCCTCCGGTGTACGGGGAGTGGCCCTCAAGGGCAGCAGAAGGAATGGAATGCCTGTCACACTCGCCTTGGCCTGGAAAGGAAGAAGGGGGGGGGGGATGGGGACGATCGATTTTTCCTCCTCCTTCCAAACCTCTTTTAGTTCCCGTCTAGCCTTCACGTCCCTTTTTAGTTGGGAAACTGCGACCTCTTCTGCTTGATAGGTTCTTTCTGTTTATAGGTTCAGAGCCTCCTTTGTCAATTTCAGGGAACTGATGTATTGGGGACGGCTTCTCTGCCCAGCCTGACATGGTCCAGCCATCCTGTCAGTCTTCTGGAACCCAAAGAAGTTCCATTTTAGGTGATCATGCCAAGTATCAGAGCGAGCTTACTTGTTTCTTTTAAATCACGATTCATTAATGTCGAGAATTCCTGTCCAGAGATTGGGTTTCTGGAGCCTTGGTCAGTTTCCAGGGATCAGCTTAATTCTGTATCTGAAAATGGGCGTTTTCGAGTTGCTACCAAAACAGTTTAACTTCTTGTCTGTTGTTTCTAAGGGGAATCAGAGTTAGGCTGTCCTCTCTTCTTGTTCTCTGTCTTTGAAACACATACATTCCATTGCGAGTGTGCCGCTGTGTGACCTACCAGGAACCATGTATTGCCTTCCTCTCTGCCTTCCGGCTCTACCTTGGGAATGTTCAGGAATCCGTCCTGCTGTGGTATGAGCCCTGTGGAAGGGGGACAGGATCATTTCCAGAGAAGTTGTGGCAAACGTGTCTCTCTGGCATGTGCAAGAAGTCAGTAGTCACCTGGGAAAAGAGACTTTGATAGACCAGTATTGTGTGTGTGTGTGTACACATTTAAATCTCCTGGGGGCGATCAAGTGCCAGCTGAGATTCTCCTTTTGGGATATTGGCTCCTGAGGAGATCCAAGTTTGAAAGTAGATATCTAGGAAGTGGCCTTGGTGTAATTAGGCTATCTTTGGCTGGCCCCATAGCCCAAGCCAAAAAAACTTAATCCCCGTCCTGTCCCTCAAAGGAATCCCTTCTTTCAACCACGGCTCAGTTACTCTACAGATGGAGGTAACAGTCACCCAGAACCCACATCTCGAAAAGTTTGGTACTTACTGACCTCCACCCTACTGAATTTGAACTGGTCAGTCCAAGAAATAGCCTTCTCCGGTATTAGTCCCTGGCATCTTCATGTTTTGCTAGATTCCCATAACGCTATTCCACTTCGCTCACAATTCATCTCCTTACCTTTCCCCTGCTTGGAGGTTGCAGCCTCTTAGGAAAAAGGGATATCTAGCTCTGGGTACTAAGGGCTTTGCAATAAAAGAACACACCCTGTTATTTTATGTGAGAATAAAATGTTTTAATAGCATATAGCTTGTGGAAACATTGTATAAATAAGGTATATTTGGATCAGGCTTGCAGGTATAACATAAAAAAGATGGGGCATGAACACATTCCTTCTGCCTTCTCTAGGTTTAGTTTGCTTTCAGGACAGCAGGGGATGGGGCAGGAGAAGAAAGTGAATAGTGGATATTTCACGTTCTAAGAGCCACCAGAGCAATCCTTGTGTGGAAGTCCATCCACACTTATCACTGCTGGAGGGTAGATGGAAGGAAGAAGTTTTGCAAGATCATCTGGAAAGCCCTGGGGTTCAGTAGGTAGCCACACTCCTTTCTCCCTGCTTTGGCTGCCTTTGAACTCAGCTGGCATCTAGCCTGGGCTGAGGTTAGAACATATGGAGCAGTGAAATGGCAGTGCCCCCTCCATGTCTCCAAGGGGAGGGTCAACCTTCATTGGGAGCCTGGGTTGATATCTACTCATGGCTCAATGGGTTTAGTATGGCAAACCACAGAAATTCCCAGTCATGAAGGAGGTAGGTGCTGACTGCTGATAAGTAACCCTGGGGCAAAAGACCTGACCTAACTTTGAGCCTTGGTAGCAGCTGTGTCCACCCTGCTGAGGAAGATGGAGTCTTAGAATGCATGTCACATCCAAGTCCTGTGGAATCCCGACTGTCTCTGATGTGTGTGGAGTTCATCTGGACCTTAGTAGGGAACTAAAAGCGACCTGAAAAGGTAGCCTAAACTGATTTGATGGATGGTAAAGCCAAGACCACACATAATTCTACACTACTTGCCCCTATTTCCTGGTGCTGAATGAAATTACAAGTATCTTCTAAGGTGCCAATGATTGGCCTGAACATCAGGCTTTTTCAGGGGATAGAGACAGGTCAAGGTTCGAGGGGATCAAGGTGCTTTGCTTTGTGTATTTGTGATGTACCTAAGGGATTTGAGGAAGTAGCAGGAGATCGGTGGCTTTCCAGCTCATTCCTTTAGTATTGACATAGGAACAGGTGTGCAGTGACAGGGATGGATAAAACTAGAGAAGCAGCTTAACAGGTGGCAGGACTGTTGGGTGAGGCAACTGACACTTGCAAGAAGAGCCATGGCTAACCAAGGAGGGGACTAAGCAGCCAGCCCGCTCTCCTGATGCCGTCAATGGGAGAGGAAAGTGCATACTGGCCACCTGATGAGGCTAGTAAGGATGTACCAAGAAAACTGGGGGCAGGGGTCGTCCAGCTGGAGGGTTGAGAAAGCCAAGCAAGGTGACCTTGGGGGTGATTCTGGGGCCTGGAGCATTGAGCTGGTTGGAGGAGTTGTCAAGTCATGTCTTGTCCAAACTAGTGCCCCTTTTCCTCCTCAGCAATTGTTTCTTGGGGCTCCTGGGTAGAGTTCTGGGGTATAGCTTTATATTCTCAAATCAGCCCTTATGGTTCTCAGGATCCCATTTAGAGAGCCATCCCCATTTACTTTCTCCTCATCTTTCCCAAATTGATAACCTGCCAGGGCATGGTACCTTATCTCAGGACCAAGTAAATGCACCTGTTATCCTGGGGAAGGGGAAATGTCCCTTATTCTGAGACAGATGCATACCACTTTTTTGATTGGGGATGAGAAATAGTCTTTTATCTCAGGACAGTATTGAAGTGAGGCAGGTTTGAGAGTCTTTGTTCATTCTTGTCTTCTTGTCACCCCCTCCCTTTCCCAAGTGGTGTACAATAGATACCTTGCCCAGCTTTAGAGACGTGTGACGCTGTCACAAAAGAAGCCACAAAGGAACTTTTTGGTGCACCCCACTGCCCTGCATGATTCTAACACTGTACAAGACAGGAGAGGTGATTTTTTATTTTTTGTGGAGGTGGGCCCTGATCTCCAGGAGCTTACAATCTAGCTGGGGAGACACAACTAATGCACATGTAAACCAGTACAGTTAGTGACTACCACAATATTGACCTCAACTGCTGCGTGAGACCAGGGACAGCAAGATCAGTGAAGGCCCAGGGGTCGGAGAAGGTGTTCTGGTGAAGGTGGAATTCAGTTACTAGTTAAATAGGGCCGAATCAAGTGACACATTTTGGGGAGGGGTTTGGAAGGCCGGGTTGAAAGGGGGAATGAGGGATCAAGGCAGAAATAGGCGAGCCATAGACAAGGGACAGCAAGAGAGCCCTACTTCCTCCCCCACCCATACCCTCCAGCCCCACCACGCAGCATGCAGTTGATGTTTTCTCTTCTGTACCGAGATTCAGGGCTTCAGCTAGTGATGTCAGAATGTCCATTCTGCTGGTTGTTGGATCTCTGTGGTAGGATCTGTCCTGTGGCTGAGATGGTGCTGTTACGACTTGATTCAGATCAGAACGTGGTGCATACGCCCAGATCTCGAGAATTTGCTCCCCTCTTCCCCCTCCTCTCCCACTCTCCGGTAGTGGGACAGGGTCAGAGGGATTGGGAAGGGAACGGATATCTTCATCATTGTCGGTGCTGCTTCTCCAGGGGCCTACCGGCCCCTCACTGACCTTGGCAAGTGCTCCTCTGACGAGGGAGCACAGGGGACCCCCCATTACTGCGCGGCACTGGCTCCCATGCTGGTCGAGAAGCGCAGGAGCACTTGATGACATGGCCGCCCAGGGCTGGGATCTGGGGCCTCAGTTGGGGGCTTGCTGCCTGCGCTCCCCCAGCACCTGCCGCCCGGTCCGGGACACTGTGTGTGCCAGCTTCTGCAGGGAGTACCTGAACACCTGCGGTGAGAGATCCAGGACCCACCCTTAGAGAATCACCTGTGACTGACTCCTTGTTGTGCTGCTGATACTGCCTGCAGCTTGCTGGTCCTGCCGTGTGCCCGCCCAGACGCTGCCGGCCACGCCTGCCTGTCCAGTGTAGCCTGGAGTGGTGGACCCGGCACAGCTTGTCCACGAGTCAGGGCAGCTGTGTGTGAGAGCTGTGCTGAGAGCTGCATGGCTACAAGCTGATTGGACCCACAACTTAGGTATACCTCACTTCTTGCAGTGGGCTGTGTCCCTGGAGGATTTCGAAAAGTGAATCCTACCCAGTAAATGGCAGCATTCCAGGAACACCTTGAAGGAAATGTGCGATTCCTTTGGCAAAGAATTCCTTGAGCAGGGAACTCTTCCTGCAAAAGGAGCTCTTGGGGTAGATGGTTTTCTGCACAAAGCGCCTTCTTCGAATTCGGCTTTAAGAAAAGCGCTTTTGCGCTCGCGCTCTTTTTTTCCATAAAATGATTTGTCCCCTCTTTTTGAAGCTTTTTCCATTTTTTTTCTGCGAAAGGCATTTTCCTCTAATTGTCTTATTCAAAGTGTGTATCTAGTTCTTTTTTCTGTCCCTTTGTTTCTCATCCAATGCTCTTTATCTAATGGTTTTTCCCTACTAAGTGCCTTTGTCCGGTTATTTTTCCTACATTGCGCGTTTTCTTTATTTCCTCCCTTTACTTTTTCCTCTGATTTATTAAGATTCTTTTCGTCGAGTGTTTTTTTTCCTGAAAAGTGCCATTTTCTAACTTATTTTTCATCCCACCCCACAAGCGTTATATGTGTATACAGTGTATTATTTTTAAAAAATTTCCCGCAATGCGCAATTTTTTAAGGCAGAAATTTTCTCTGGGCAAGCACTAAAGTCTCGCTGCACAAAGTGCCCCGCCTCCCTCCTGGGGTCGAGTTTGAGTATAGCAGGTGATTCTTATCGCATTGGTCGTGATCGTCCGCAGCGGGCGACCGCCGAACCCCTGAGTCTTTGTTCCCGGCCGGGCGGGGGCGCACTGGGGACAGGGTCTGTGCGAGGATGTGGGTACGCACGCGAACGGGCGGGGACAAATAGTACCACTGTGGCACTTTGGGTCCGGGTGCGCTTCGGGTGCCATCTCCCATCCAAAGCCCGGGCATATACTCACCTGCAGCAGCACGCGGAAGATGTACCAACCGATGATTAGCAGTTCTGCTGAAGCTGCTGTCACTGCGGCCATGGTTCTGAGAGTGGGTGGTGGAGAGCGAGGGTTCGCTGAGGTCTACCGGTCTCGGAGTCCGCTGTGGGCGCACTGCCGCAGCCCTGGTGGCCGTGTACCCTCCTGCCATCTGAGTGCGCATGCGCGCTTCGTGGGGAGGGCGCTGTTGAGGAGGAGGGGTGGCGGGGGGCGCTCCTCATTCGCCAGGAGAGGAAAAAAAATCCGTCTGTTCTTTCCACACGGACCCCCACCTCCCGAGTCCGCTCGTAACACCCTTCCAGAAGATTCTTCTGCTCTGCCCACTTTTGAAATTCAGTGTTAAATGGAGGGGAGTCATGGCTCTAGTTTAGAGTGAGGTTAGGGGTGCAGGCTTTTTGGTATGACATACCCAAGTCTGCAAATTTTAAACTCATGCCAACTGTTTTGTGAAAGTCCTTGTTAAGTACCACTTTCTCGGCTGTTGCTTCCCCACTCTGCCCAGCAGGCGATGGTGGCTGCGATCCCCAGTTGGACCAGCCCTCTGCTCTTAGTAGCTAAAGTGATTGTGTCTGCTCTGGGAAGGATGTAGGAAGGATTGACGCCCTTTGTGTGCGCCGAAGATTTTTGAAGAAATGGTTCAGATGTATTGGGACTGGTTTTCTGTGGCACAGATGGTATCAATCCCTGTCTTGTGCTCCCCTCCCCCATCTCTAGTAAGTCTGCTGGATTGGTTTTTTGTACAGGTTGCTTCGCAGCTGGAGCACAGAACAGTATTTTTCAGTAGCCGCCAAGGGTTATAAGGCTACTGTCGCCTAGTTTCAAAGTAAAGCTAGTGTCCTTCTCTTAGTGTGATCTTAAAAGCTCTAGTAGAGTGCAGTTCAAGTGGAAAGACCAAACTGCCATCTTGCCATCAAGCTACTTGGCACAGAGGCCAAACGTATTTGCCCCTTTGTGGACTTACAGAAGCCCAGTTCTGTTCAATGTCAGTAACAGATGAAGGTTGGTTTTTGTTTTTGTTTTGTTTTTGTTTTTTTGTTTTTACATTGACTTGAAGTTGACTGGTTTGAGCTAAATGTTATTGGACTATTTGAAAAAAGCAAGCCTGGTCCAACCTGCCATCTTAAAATATTTGACGCCACTTGACTGTGTCTTCCCGTAGCTTGCCAGGATCAGAGGATGTACTGTCTGGCATCTCCAGGTTAGCAGTTCACAGATAATTGCTGTGACTTGACACACTCCCGCTCTGGTGCTGCAGATGGGACTAGATACAGAGCCGTTTCCTACCACACGGGGGCACAACACCAAGTCCATGGTGTCCTGTGGCAACCACAGGGCGGTATTGTGAGGTCTGGGACCTTTGAGGACGGGCCGCAGCCCCAGGAGGCGATACATGATCTCTGCTGGGCAGGGCCTAGGCAAAACCAGTCCACTGTGGGGACCGTGCCCTCCTGGGAGCCCCCAGTAGAAGCCCAGGGAAGACACACCCCAGGAGGCCACGTTTAATTTGGATAAGACATTCATGGGTGGGTGGGTAGGAAGGGGCATTCACATTTGCTGTTGTTAACCATGATCCATTTTCCCAAATAAGTATACATTTTGTTCCTGTTTTTTTGTTTGTTTTTTGTTTTTGTCTGTCTGTCTGTCTGTTCTTTGTTTGTTGTGTTGGCTTTTCTCTTCAGGATCCTTGCTGCCTTGGTGATCCCAGGCTGACAGCCAGAGAGCACAGCGGCTCAGCTCCTGGAGAGAGAGTCGAAGAAAACGGAGGGCAGCCACCTGTGCCTGCTGGCTCCCATTAGGTCGGTTCCTGCAGCGGTGCCTGGCAGCCTTGGTGAAGGCCCTGCCCGGCAGAGATCATGTATTGCCTCCAGTGGCTGCTGCCCGTCCTCCTCATCCCCAAGCCCCTCAACCCCGCTCTGTGGTTCAGTCACTCCATGTTCATGGGCTTCTACCTGCTCAGCTTCCTTCTGGAACGGAAACCTTGCACAATATGTGCCTTGGTTTTCCTGGCAGCCCTCTTCCTCATCTGCTATAGCTGCTGGGGAAATTGTTTCCTGTACCACTGCTCCGATTCCCCGCTTCCGGAATCAGCCCATGACCCCGGCGTTGTGGGCACCTAACAGCTGCCGAAATAGCTTTCCGAGGAAGCAGAAGACGGGAGGGGAGGCATTGGCATAGGTCATAAAGCATTGGAGTTTCAAATCCCGCAGCCCTGCGGGTGCCACATTCCTAATGGAGCCTTTTGGCCTGTGATGTTTTATCCTTATAATGTGAATAATGGCACTGACCGGTGCTTCTATTGTAGCGTCCTGTAGTCGTGGGTGGTCTTATGGTTGTGCGTTCTGTCACCATCTGGGTCCCAGCTGACGGATTGGCCCACCCCTTGCTCATCGTTTTGGAGAATCTACACCCACCCTGGTCAACCACCGTTGGGCAGATACAATGCTAGTCTCGTTGTCACCTCCATGACCCTTCCTCATCAGGATCGTCCTGCTTCCCTCCTCAGTCCCTTTCCCTGGTTTCCCCTTGGTTCTCTCCCACCCCTTTCCTTTTGAGGGAAGCACCTGTCCAAGACAGGGCTTATTTTTGCACTTATCTCAAATTTGAAGAGATTGCTGACGCCCGAGAGCCTCGCTTTTTCATCCTTCTTTCCCTGTCAAGCAGAAGAGACGGAATCATGTCTCAACTGCTTGTTGTCCACAAACCTCCAGTATTTTCTCTGCCTCATTTTAAAGAAAGAAGCAGTGGAGAGACATTGTTCCTTGGCCTGGGTGTCTGGGCTCTTGCCTTCCAGTCCAGCCTCTCTCCCTTTGCTCTTCCTTCTGCTTCTCAGCCGTCCTAAGGGGACCACCTCTTGTTTGCAGCGCATGCTCTTCAGGAGGGAGCTATGCAGTGTTCTTGTAGATCAGTGGTCCCCAGTGAGTGAATGAGAAAGTATTATGTGTTTCATAGCAGCCACGATTCCCTTGGTAGTTGTTGGGGTATTTTTTTTTTGATGTGCTCTGTATATGTGTGCACGCATGTGTGTGAGAATGTGTGTTTCTGTATGTGTGCGTACATATGCGTACGTACATGTACAAATACATGTGTATATTCCTTTTGAAGAAGCTTTACTGAATGTGTCCTGATTTTGAGGTTTGGTAGTAGTAACTAGCTAGTAGGTCCCACTGCCGTTTTTATTTAGCATGGGGATTGCAGAGTGACCAGCACAGTGGACTCCAAGGTGGTTCAGACAAGACCCAGGGGAGCAGTGGCCATCACCCTCCTGCCAGGAGCCTCTTCGTTCCTGCACACATAGACTGTACACTATGAAGAACACAGGACGACTTGGTGACTTGGTACTTGTTTTATATTCTCTGTGCTTCAGTAACAAGTGTTGGCAAATGAGACTTTCCTGGTCCCTGCCCACTGGGGATCAGCATGGTTGTTCTTCCAGTCGGAAATGTCCTCTCTTGTGTGCAAGTGAGGGTGGTGAGCCAGGCACAGAAATGGACGCAAGCACTGGGAAGTGGGACTTCGAGGCCACACTTGTGAAACGTTCGAACTGCTGTTGTAAAGCTTTTTTCTGGTGTGTTCGTTCTACAGCTGTTTGAAATGTTTAATAAAGCTTTATAAACTTTACTTTGTGGTTTTATGTGACTGCAGCATTTGGGTCATGGTGTTGGATTTCTGAGTTGGTGGGGGGCAGGGTAAAACACATGGGGCTGAGTCCTTGGCGCCAAAGTACCTTAGCTAGAGAATTTGATCTGTTCTCTGGAGAGCAGATGGTGGGGTCGGGGTGGGGCAGGGGCAGTGGCAATCCAGGCAATGAACAGGAGAGAGTCTGAAAATTTTCAGAGATGAGACATTTGTACTTCTCAGCTCCCATGACTTCCCGCCTGAAACTTCGCTCCATAGAAGACTTGAGTAATGAATCCCTTGATAAACAATTTAGGACAGCTGGTCATCAAAGATTTTTATGATGCTGCTTTTGAAGTAAAAATAAGTGAAACCCCTCATGGCATCTCAACTGGGAAAATAAATAAGGCTTGCCATTTACCCAGCATACCTTAGGTGCTAGCTGGAAGCACAGAGGGGTAAACCCTTTGCTGTGGATGTGCACGTGTTAACTGTGGCTGTGACCTAGGACACTCAGTTGTGGCAGCATGCCAGGGCCCTTTGCTGGGTATTCACCTGCAAGTCTCCCTCTCAAAAAGCAGAGCAGGAGCACTTCCTGAGAGTGGGAGCTGTTGTGAGGGCTGCCAAGGTCATGTTTGAAGATGGTTTGGTGACTTTAGGGAAGTTCATATTGACCTACCTAGACATTTCCTTTATTGTGAGAAAGCTGTATGGATTTATTCCTATTCTTCTGCCCTTTTCACATTCCTGGTAGGTATTGCTCGTCCATGCTTTCCTCTTCTTGATATAACTTTCCAAAGAGCCAGGTGTAGTACTTCACACCTATAATCCTAGCAGTCAGGAAGCTGGGGCAGGAGGATTGTTCAGAGTTGGCCTGAGCTACTACAGAGTGAGACCCTAGCTAATACAGAACAAAACAGAATTCCCAAAGATGTGTCTGTTTGAGAGAAATTTTTCTTTGAACTGCAGTGACCATTCTTAGGGTGTCTTTTCTGTCTGCTTCAGTGTTGGCCTTCCCTCTTGAGGTCTTTGCTGTGCATAACTGGGGTTCTAAAGAGATTGACAAGTTGAGCTGGGCATAGGGAAAGGCTAGTTTGTTCAACAAACACAGAGACCCTGTACAAGGCTTGCTCACGATTTCAGGACAAGCAGGCCTGACACTCCAGGACCCCACGATTCTAGCCTAGTGGGGAGACTTAGCAAAATAGACAACTGCAGATTGCAAAAACAAACCAAACAAGCAGATGCTTTTGTGTCTTCTGTGGAGGCACCTGGATGGTAACTGAAGCCAAACTCATTGCTTATTTTGCTCTCCCTTGGAAAGCAGCTTTCTGTTTTAGATCTTGTGCTTGAGAGTCAGTATAGGCACTCCTTTCGGTGGGGTGCTAAGAGCCCATTCTTGGCAGGGTGCTTGCCACCTGGGGGTTCTGTCTGCCCACAGGACTCCCCATATCACCTAGGATGCCACCTTTCTCCCTGAGCTGTCTTCCAGGAAAATAAAGACACTTCCTTTGCAAAAAGGCCTTGGAGGACCTCACCCTGCATTTGTGTTGCCACTGTAGCTCTCTGAGAAGGTGTCCTGCTTCCGCTGTCATTTTCTGCATAGGTAAAATGTGGTCTTTGGAACAAATACAATTTTCCCAGCCCCAGTGATCTGGGAGTCTTCCTGAATCCTAGGCTCTTTTCAGCCCAGCTGAGGTAGGTGGCTGGAGTGAGTTGGTGGCAAGGGACTTTGGGACCTGCCTGATGTACTTTGATCAGTGTAGCATGTATGCCCAGATACTACTTGTCTCGGGAACTTCCCTTCATCTCTTTCCTTCTCTGTGTTGAGAGCTTATCTATGGCCCATCATTCAGCCCTCATGCATGCTGTTACTCAGGGGTGTCAGAGTTCCTTTTAAGAGACTCCTGGAGGGCGTGGCCTGTGAGTCCTGCTCAGAGACCAGCCCTACTATTCTCCAGTTTTTGTCAGAATCTCGTGTATGATGAGACCCTGGGACCATAGTGGAATGATGGCGGAAGTCACAAAATAATCCCACACTAGTTCAGAATTATGAATAATAAAGGGTTATTTATTTAGGGGAGACTTACAGAGCACTGTCCTAGATAACAGTCTCTGCACGAACAGGGAACAGGAACAGAGTCTAGCAGCCAGAAGCAAGAGCCTGAAGCAAGAGAGCAAGAATATGCTTTAAAGCTGCATTTATAATATAAGAGACCACGCCCAAGTGGGCTGGTATCTTAAAGGCTATTGGCTGAAGGGGGGAAATGTGCTCCCACAGCAGTGGACAGTTAGTTTCCACCAGCACAGTGTCCTCTTGGGTAAAGAGAAAGGGGATAGTATTTATCAGTCAGGTTGTCCTAAAGATTCTTGACTAGGCACTGTGGTAGGGGTTCTGAGGGTCTCAGAAAGGAACTGATGCAGACCAAGAGGACTGGCTGTCAGACCTGAAGACCAAGAGTGAATACCTGAGCAGTGACGTAATAAACAAGATATTGCTGGATCACCATCGAATCCAGCATCTTGCTTACAGATAGATTGAACTGAAAAGTAAAATGAAGAACCACTAGTATCTGGCTAGATACTAGATACCTTAGAGACAGACCCCAAAAAGCTTCTGGAGAAAAAGAACAGTCAGTTTAAACCTAGAGCACTGACAGTTGGGGAGCACTAAGAGAGGGTTTTAAAGTTGAATTGCTGCTAGCAAGCCCCCAAACAGTCCTGAGAACTCCTGTTTCCAGCTGACTAGGAGCCATCCCAGTATACTAGCAGCATGTGAGATGGGATTCGTCTCTCAGGGATGTAGAGAAGGCCACGCCACGTCACTGGGAATGAGGAGAAAGGGCTCAGAAGTAGCAGTGATGAGGTTAGCAAACTAGTACTGGGTGAATGGAGTATGTTGAAAACAGCATTGTGCATCCTGGTCAGGCAAAGCCAAGTGGCTGGAGGTTCTGTATCAGCCTGGAAAGGGACTGAAGCACTAGGGTCAGGAATGGACTAAAAGACTAAACACCCTGCTGGGAGGAGTCAGGAGCCCTGGGTCTTGTGCTCTGCCTTT